TTCTTCTTCTTCTTCTTCTTCTTCTTCTTCTTCTTCTTCTTCAGATTGGAGACTTATACTAGTTGGACAGAGATCAGAGTTGGACTTCGGTGGTAAGAGGCTGWGGTACTTACCGGATTCGAGACTTGGAGATTGTTGGGGATGATACTCGGCTGCATCACAGATTTGACACCGGTTACATTAGGACTCTGTATCTCCGACATTGGTGACTTATTGTCCTTGAAATTTTGATCTTGTTCGATGACATTTTGGATTACCATATCGGTGACCTACTGGTCTCTATCTCGGTGACATTTGGTGCTACCTACATCTCCCACCTGTTTGCGTATTGTTTGATTGTTCTACCCCTGTTCCCACTCTCCCTACCCTCCCCGTATTCTGTGACCACCGGGACCTCTCAAGTACTACATCAGTTCACACTGATGTCGATGGAACAGGACACCGGGGCACTACCACGACGCAGTGCCAGGCTTGCAGTTCGTACCCGCCCTGTGGTACCTCCAAGACCCAAGCAGCGACTCAGCAAGCGGAAGACTCCAGCAGCATCAAGTACAGCAATAACAGTACCGAGTACCACCGGGGTTCTTCCCGCATGCCCGGTCCAAGGGGCCGGTGAGCCGTTGGCAGCTTACCTTCAGCGGGTACAGGCATTCACAGATGCCGTAGCTACCTCAAAGGCACATGAGGAGGCAGCAGAGGCGGAATGTCAGCGGCTGGCCAATGAGGCGGCGGCCCAAGCTCAGCAGACTGCTGAGGCTGACGCCGTGGTGCGAGACAAGCAGAACGCCATTTGCATGGAGTCCTTGACTATGAATGAGAGTCAGTGGACGACACTGCTCCAAGGCATGCTGTTTGTGCCTTGGGAAACACAGGCGGAGGAAGAAAGGAGCAACCTGGCTAACCTGATGTTGAACATGATGCGAGCGATCATGTGGAACAACACGATGCTAATGGTGCAGATACACGAGGGCAGACAACTGCGACAGATTCAGCAGAATGATTCTGCAGCCTTAACAGCTGCTGTTCGCGCTGCCACCACAAATCAGCAACAACAGCAACAGCTGTTGAGCAGCACCACCGCACGCGTCAACAACATCGAGGCTAACGCCTCAGCAGCGCCGAGACGAAGCAGCTCAATGGGCGCATCGATCATGTCGTCAACCTCATCGGCGACATAGGTGTTTTCAATGGGCCGGACACGATCAGTAGCACGGTGGCCACCATCAAGACGGACATCACCAAGCTACAGACGAGACCGGACGCCGCTACGAAGACTTACAAGATGCCGCACTTCGACATCAGCAAGTTCGACAACTACAACAAGTCGGACGCCTTGACATGGTGGCAACGTTTCCTCACGGAAGCATCATGCCGCACTGTTCCGGCGGACGACATGATGAAGGTGCTCTACTTACAACTGATTGGAGGAGCGCAGGCATGGATGAACCATCTGGCGGCTACCAAGAAATGCACCATCGCCGAACTCCACACGCACATTCCATGGAAGGAGTTCGAGAAGCTATGGCTCACCCGGTTCATGGTTCGCAACGTCGTGAAGGCAGCCATGAACGAGGTGTACACCTTCTCTCAAGGTAGTATGCCAACCCGAGACTGGACAACTAAGTGGCAGAAGATAGTGACCACGCCAGGCTTCGATTTGAGTTTTACCAATCAGCGATCCGAGTTCTTCTCGCGATCGTGTGCAGGACTGCGGTCGGCACTCGGCAACCAGTACGATTATGATTCATTCCAGGCCATTCTGGATCGTGCGAACTTAGTCATCCAAACGGACGGCAGTCCCAGCCGCATTATGTGGCTAAGCAGGGCTATCAACGACCGACACATAACAATGCCGTGATTTCTGAAGAAACAGTCGATCTCCACGCTGCAGCAGCATCCTCGAGTGATGGAGGAATTGTAGCAGCACTCCCGCCGAAGCGTCCCAAGAGAGTTCGAAAGAACAAGGCGACACAAGAGACGGCATCGACGGGAACTGGGCAGCAGCCATGCACGACTTACAAGATAACCAAGGATGTCTATGACCTTCGTCAAAAGTACGGATACTGCTTTTGGTGCAACGACGTCACTCATTTGACCGCACAATGCCCCGAAAAGGGCAAGGCACGCGTACCCCGTCCAGCAAACTCAGGAAACTGAGTTACGCAAGGAGAGGGGCAACGTCTCTCCTCACTCCGCCGGAACCGGTTGCCTTGCTAGCAATCGATGTCACTACCGGGGAGCATGCGTTAGTCGCTGATTCTCGTGCTACGTACGAGGATTATGCCGCCCAACTGGTACCACCACTAGACCAGCCGAGCCACGTGCACTTAGATTGCGTATGCGCAGCCTGTACACCGTCGGCAAGTGATCCGGTCAGTTTGCCACTACATTTCGAGGATTCGACGGCGTGGTCAAGACTTGAGGAGCTTGACCCGCTCACAAGAGAGGACTTCGCTTGGATGCCTCTACCCTCGACCGGAACCTTGCCAAGGCCACATTGCAACGCCTTGATGGCAAATCTACGCTCCTATTTGCACACTACAGTACCAGCTCCGTTGACGGACGACGGGGTAGCGGTTGTCGATCTCCGCTCCTATCTTGCGAAGATTGACCGCGAGTACGCCACCCAAAGGTACGCCGAAACCGACGCGCCTTTGCTCTATATCCGCATTCAAATCGGAAAGGCAACCTGTAGTGCCTTGATTGATTGCGGAGTGTCTCGCAACTTTATGAGCCAAGCCTTTATGGCCCGCGCAGGTCTTGGCCCGCGCGTTCGAAGGAAGGCGCAACCTACGTAAGTTACACTCGCGGATGGCCGCACGCAAAAGTCAATTGACCGATGCGTCGACGGCGTTCCGATATACTTTGCGCCACTTGCGTGCGAGCCGGTGTCTTTTGACATCCTCGACACCAAGTTCGACATGATTATAGGCATGTCTTGGTTGCGTAGCGCCGMTCAYCCGRTGAACTTTCATGACCGAACCGTTCACATCCRTGATCGGAATGGAGTGTTAGTCCCATGTACGGTCGCGACCCCTCACACTTCGATTGCTTGTCACGTGGTTTCCGTTGCGAGAATTCGCGATGCCATAGCTCGGAATGACGTCGAGGAGATGGGCGTTGTATTCTTGCATGCTCTCCCCTCGCCGGACACACCAGCCGCGTCCCCGCCGGACCCACGCATCACTCACCTCTTGGACGAGTATGGAGACGTCTTCGAGGCGCCCACCGGAACGGTTTCGGATCGGCCCATACGTCACGGGATCACTCTCGAGGCTGGCGCCGTCCCTCCGCGTGGATGTATCTACCGCATGAGCGAAGAGGAACTCGAGGTGCTTCGCGCACAACTCGATGACCTTCTCGACAAGGGCTGGATTCGCCTTAGTTGCTCGTACACCTGTTCTCTTCGTCCGGAAGAAGAACAAAGATCTACGGTTATGCATCGACTATTGCAAACTTAACGCACAAACCGTAAAGAACGCCGACCCTCTCCCTCGGATTGATGATCTCCTTGAGCGGTTAGGCGGAGCGACGTACTTCTCGTTTGGGCCTGGCGGCGCTCTTGAGGCTGCCGCCCGCCGGTTGGGGCTGAACCGTCCATCTTGACGGTTCAGGGCGCTGCTAGGCCTCACAGCATTGAGGCCGTCCTCTGCCCCACTGGTACAAAAGTACCGGTCCAGCCTCATTGAGGCTATCGACCCACCGGCACTCTAACGGTGCGGTATGGTACGGCGCGAATCAGCGCTGGCGCTAT